GGCTCTTAAGATCCAGGCCTGCTGTGGGCTCCATGCTCAACAGAGTTTGCTCGTCCTTGTCCCTCTCCCCCGGCATCTCCTCCCCAGCATCCCAGTCGCACACTCTCCCACCGTCTAAAATATATAAGTAAAATCTTTTAAAAAAGAAAGAAAAATATGAAGACCTTAGCCCTGCCGCCCACTGCCCCCAAAGCAATCATGCCACATTTGGCGTGGAGAGAAGCTAAGAGCCTCAGATGGGAGTGGTAGTCTCTCTAGAGAATCCTACTCAGCATTTTTTGTTGCTTTGGGCTAAGGTTCTGGCCCCTCCGGGCATCTGCATTTATGACTCCTGATATAAGATAATTTCTTCACTTGATAATGAGGAAACAGGCTGAAAACAGAATTGCTGGAAGTCACACAGTTCACTACGGCACACAGCGTGAGCGGGAACAGGAGTCCTGGGTCTCAGCAAGTGTCCTGTCCACCGTAACACTCAACGTCAAGGCCATGATAGCCTGCTCCGTCCGGGAAGGACTTGGACAAGCAGGGCAGGAGGCGGCCGGCGTGAGAGGCGGGCCAAAGCAGGCCGGACTTCAGGGTGCGGACTTTGCCAAGAAGAGTCAGGTGGCAGCGTTTGGGAGAGATTCCCACCTTCCCTTTCAAAGTCCAGACACCTTTGCAGACAGTTCCTGACGTCAGCTGCTGAATCTCCCACTGGTCCATCTACCTGCCACCTTTCTGCTTCCGACCCTGCATCAGACCCTCCGTGCCTCTTGCCTGGATCAGCACAACAGTCCCCCCGTTTCTCCCCCTTGCCCTGGCCCTGCTGATTCTGATCCTTCGAAAAGCAACTAGAATGATCTTCCCAAAAGGAACATCGGATCTGCCGATTCTCCTGGGGCTCTTCCATGGCTCTCCTGCCTCAGGGAGCCCATATTCCTCTATATATTTATCAGGAGTCCTGCGGGACCCACGCCAGCTGACATTTCTGTCCACATCGTCTCTCGCTGCTCTCCCCATCAAGGCCCCGGCCACCCTGTGCCTCTGGAATGGACAGCTGCTTCCGCCTGGAACATTGCCACCTCCACCGGCTGACTCCAACTCAGCCTCTGTTTGGATCTGTCTTCTTCTTCTTCTTCTTCCCACTCCCAACCCCACCCCCAGACTAGGTGGATCCCACTGGGAGGGGACACCCCCCGCCCCATTGCAGAACCTAAAGATTCTGCATCTTTACTGAACTGTCATTACCGCTGGTCTGTAAGCACTGGGATTCACCAGTCCTATCTCTGTGGTTCACAGATACGGCGACACAGAGTAGCAGGTGCCTTATAAAAGTTTACCCACTAGAGGCACCTGGGTGGCTCAGTGAGTTAAGCCTCTGCCTTCGGCTCAGGTCATGATCTCAGGGTCCTGGGATTGAGGCCCGCATTGGGCTCTCTGCTCAGCAGAAGCCTGCTTCCCCTTCTCTCTCTGCCTGCCTCTCTGCCTACTTGTGATCTCTGTCTGTCAAATAAATAAATAAAATCTTAAAAAAAAAAAGAAGCCCTCCTTTCTAAAAAGAAAAGAAAGAAAAGTTTACCCACTAGATGAAAGGAAAGACGAATGGATACTAAGGATGGGACAGAAGAAGAATCAGGAAAGTTATAAGGTCTGTTTGTTCTAGACAAGCAAGTCGGGGCAAGTCAGGGCTTCTGGTCTGTTTCCACATGTGTACTTTACAAAGAAGACTGGACAATACACCTCGACACCCCAAGACCAAATAACCTCACTAAAAAATAGGCAAAACACACAAATAGACATTTCTCCGAAGAGACATCCAGAGGGCCGACAGACACATGAAACGACGCTCACCATTGGGGAAATGTAAATCAAAATCACAATGAGATGTCATCACACACCTGTCAGAATGGCTAAAATCAACAACACAAGAAGAAACAGGTGTTGGAGAGGATTCGGAAAAAGGGGGAACCTCGTGCCCTGTTAGGTGGGAATGCAAGCTGGTGCAGCCACTCTGGCAAACAGCATGGAGGTTCCTCTGAAAGTTAAAACAGAGCTGCCCTACGACCCAGCAATCGCACTACTGGGTATTTACCCCCAAATACAAAATCACTAGTTCAAAGGGATACAGGTCCCCTGATATTTATAGCCGCATTATTTACAACAGCCAAGTGATGGAAGCAGCCCAGGTGTCCATCAAGACATCAACAGATAAAGAAGTTGTGGTGTGTATATACAGTGGGATACCACTCAGCCATAGAAAGAATGAGATCTTGCTATTTGCAGCGGTGTGGACAGAGCTAGAGGGTACCATGCTAAGCGAAGTCAGTCAGTCAGTGAAAGACAAAGACCATATGATTTCATTCATATGTGCAATTCAAGAAACCAAACAAATGAGCAAAGTTAAAAACAAACAGAGAGATATTTCAAGAAGTCGACTCTGAACTGTAGAGAACGGACTGCTGGTTACCAGAGGAGGGAGGGGGGGTGCGGAATGGATGGATGAAACAGGTGATGGGGATGAAGGAGGGCCCCTGCCGTGATGAGCGCCAGGTGACGTATGGAAGTGCTGAGTCACTATGTCATACACCTGAACTAATATGACACCGTAGGTTAATGATCCAGGAATTACAATGAAAAACTTAAAAAAAAAAAAAAGACTGGACAAGATCCTTTCTTCCCAGGCAAGGTAGGGTCTCTGGACTTCTGTAGGGACTCTGAAGAGGAGTAGCGTTCTGGGAGCAACGTGCAATGTTTCAAACCCCCCTAGGGTAACCGCGCACCCTCCTGTAACAAGGGACAAAGGCCAACCAAGCCCCCGGTGAGTCTGTGTTAAGGACATGTTAATTACCGGCACCGCTGGTTAGCTCCTCCTCAGTAAAGTCTTGAGTAGAGATTAATAGCATCTTTGATCAATAAAACACAGGACTAGAACATAGAAACAATCTGTTCCTGCGTGATGGTTTTTACAACATGAGACCCAGGAGGTAAAATAATAAGAGGGCTTGGACGTGGGGAGCAGACCACAGACTCTTAGGAGAGGACGGGTTCACCGCCAACTCCTTGGAAGGAAGGCCCCTGGGGGGCTCCTGCAGAAGAGCCCCTTAATGGGGAAGCCTGGGCCTTCGTTTGATCCTCAAGCCTCTCTTTTCTTGGTGGAGGGTGGCCCCCACCATCTGTTCCTTTGGGAACCCCCCTCCCATCCTCGCACAGGGACTCCCAGAGCTTGTGATGCTGCAGGCTGTGGGGGCTTGGGACTCTCCAGGAATCAGGTGCCAAAAGCGCAGTCTGGCCACATGGGGGCGCCCTCACCACACACACTGGGATTCCAAGGCCCCGCTGCAGCGGGAGCAGGAGCCAGAGGACAGATGGCGCTGGCCGGAGCCCTGTGACCACATCAGGACTTGGGGCAGCGCAGCCCATGCTCTTAGGGAAGACATCTCCCATCCTTCCTGACAGAGAAGCATGCCGCCCCAACGTCACGGACGAGAGAGGCTGCAAGGGGCTCCTCCTGCTCACAGGTCGGGGACCGGGGTTAGGAAATCCCAAGATAACCTGTAAAGAAGCCCGGTGCCGAAATGTGGACAGAGAATGCACGCTGCTTTTCCTTGCTCTGAGGAGCAGGGCGGGGAGGGACTTAAATGGCACCTGTGCTGCGGCTTTGGAACAAAAGGTTTAAACACTTTGGGAAGAGGATCTTTTTTTAAAAGTGAGAGCAACAGAGACAATAAGAGAAAGACTGAGAGACAGAGACACACAGACACACACATGCAAAGGGAGAGAGGGCAAGAGAGCGGGAGAGAAAGAATGTTACTCCTGCCCTGTGGGGACAGTCCGTAATCCCAGAGCAGCCAGGCAAGTACAGAGCTGGGTGCCTGCCGGCCAGGACTCTGCTTTCACTCCTGGAGCAAAGACGTGGGGACTGGAGCAGGGGGCTCTGCTGCTTTGGGCCTCGCTGTTGCCCACAGTAATAGGGGGAGCCCTGCCTGCCTTCTGGGATTGATGTGTGGCTCCGGCAGGATGATTAATAAGCACAAATCACCTCTCCCAGTACCAGGATCCAGGCAAGCACCACCGGCAGCAGAGAGAATTCAGGCCAACAGATGCCAGCAATAAAGGATGGGGGGTGGGGGAAGCCTGACCATTTACAGTTCGAGTGATACCTTGTGACTTTAGTTTAGCCACATGGGGACTTCCGGGCTGTATGAATTCAGCAGTCCCTCTCAGCCCAGACTGGTTGTTGTACCATAACAAATGCCACTCCCCACGCAACCATCCGGCCTTCCACGTGCAGAGTGCCTTGTCCAGCCGCTGGACGCCGGCCCCGCCACGTGGGAAGAGCTGGGACTGGTGACTGGAGAGTCACTGAGGCCACCGGGATGGCGACTCAGCCCACAGCTCTGCAGTCAGACTGGCTGAGCCTGGCCCCTACGTGAGTCCGCGTGTAACTGTGGGCTCACAGCCCCACACATTCCCATCCGGGAAACGAGGATCATCATAGCGTTCAGCCCAGGGACCGTGGGGGGTGGGAATGAATTCCTGCTAGTCAGGCACTCAGAACCGTGCCTGGCACACAAAAGGCACTTAAATAAATGCTGTCCTTCACCGTCACACTGCTTTGTTTTACAGAATAGGCAGTGATCTTTCTAGAATGGTTAGATGAAGGTCATCTGATCCAAAACCGGAAGAGGGGCGACATGTTTCCCTAGCAGCTAGAGAGCATTAGACCAGGAGTGGAAGAGATGCATCTGAGGCCACAAGCAGCTTCCAAAGTTTCGGTATGCAAAGTGGGGTTCTGGCCTGTTAGTCAGGAAAACAAGGACACCAGATTGCCCAATGGCCCTGCTGAAGCCGGCGGGCAGCGCTCTCTCTCTGGGTGGATGCAGATGGGTCCCCTCCCCGCCCTCCCCAACCGGGTCCCAGCTGCCCCATCTTTAAGAGGGAAGACAGGGACAGGAGGACGCTCCCGGGGAGCGTTCTGGTCCCAGCACTGCTCGAGCCGGCGTCCCCTGGGCCCTCACCTGAGGTACTCATAGAGCCCATACATGGGCAGGAAGTCGATGTCAGACAGGAACATGTAGGGCGTGCCCACGTGCTTCATGGCCACGTTGCGCAGCAGGTTCACGGGGTAGAACTGGCCCTCCTTGTACACGATGTGGTAGGCCACGTTGTGGCGGCTCATGAGCACCTCGGAGCCCTGCGCGTAGCGGAGGAACTGCTGGGCCTCGGCGTCCGACAGGTAGAGGGCCAGGCTGATGGGTCCCTCCCAGTGCTTGCAGATGGCCTCAAGCATCTGGAGCCTGCAGGAGACAGGAAAGCTGAGCCAGCCATGGGGACCCGGGCCACGCGAGATGCACCCAGCCTCCCAGGGCGGACGCCACCGCCACACACACCTGGTCAGCCCCCTCCAAGTCCAAGTCCCTGCTCCAACATCTATCACTGCGCGCTGGGGGCCAATCCCCAAAGCTCAGTTCCTTTATCTCTGAAATCAGCATAAGCACTTACCTGGCTGGTTCTTATTTTATCTGCTTCCAGATGAAGGTGGGGGTATACTGACAGAGTCGCATCCCACGGTAAGCCTTCTCCTCTCAGACTCCTCTTTGCACGGGAGGGGTGGAGGGTGAGGATGATTACATTAACTGATGTAAGGGTCCCTCCCAGGTCACAACACCTAACGCCTCTCCTCCTCTCTTAGCAAAGACGTCCAGCCCCTGCACGGCTCTGCTAAGGTAGCACCAGCCACAGAAGATTTAACCCAACCGAGGCCCTAAGTTACAAGAAGCATTAAAACACGAGCAATGGTAACGATGATCATCAGCTCATTAACAGTGCACCAGACCCTTTCCAGGACTCCCCCAACAACCCGGTGCAAGGCTGTCATTTCCCTCATTTCCCTGGTGGAGAAACTGGGGATCCAGATGTCTGGTCATCTTGGGTCCTTGGACTGGAGCCAGACCTGTACAGATGGGTACCAGGAGGGGGCCTTGGAGACAGTGAGAACAAACACACGTTGGGCGTTTGGCAAGAGAACGGAAAAACACACGGACGCTGGAGACAAAAGTATGCCTGGCGTGATGCTGTCTTCATTTGTCAGAGCCCTTTCTGCCCAAGGGTCCCGGCCAATTTTGCGAGGCTATAGGACAGGCATCGTGCCAAGGATTATGGGGGGGGGGGGGGGGAAGAAAGCCCAGAGGAAAAAAAAAAGCAAAAGGTGCTTCCCATGGAGAGGATTCTACAAAAATGCTTCAACAGAAAATCTATGAAGATTTTTTTTTTTTCTCCAAAGACATTAGAAGTGCCTGACAGATCGGATCTATGGTTAAGAAACAGCAAAAGCCTATTTCAATTTTTCCCCTGCCCAGCAAGAGGTACATAATCAGCGGTCTCCTGGTAGGAATGCCCACTTTACTCGGACAATTACCAGGAAATAGATTCCATGCATTTCCCTGCTTCTAAACAAAAGAAAATGGGCACACCTATCTTATGTCAATGGCTTTCTCAATGGACCTTCAGAGTTTCCTCTCAGTAATTCTGTGAATTGCTCCTGCCAGGATTCGCTTCATCTTTCATGACGGAGGTTTAAGATGTTCATCAGGGGAAAATGCCCTCCATGTCTCCTACTTTATAATACGTACTAATCAAATTGACGGGAGCCAGTTTTCTAAGAGGCTCCGCCTTCTCCACAATGCCTGCTTTACCCGGAGTCCGCGTGCGGCTTTTGCCGCAGGCCCGGGTTTCTGCCGGGCTCAGCGGATCTGGGGTTCTGAGTGGTCCCACCTGCACCTCACTGTCACGGTCTGTGAAATGGAGAGGACTGTGCATTCGGAAGGGACAGCTGCTCGTACAAATCCTTTGAGAGCTGGGGAGTAAAAGGTTAAGAATGACTTTTAACACGTGGCTGTAAGAGCTCCCAGGTGGGAGGCACGCGTGTCCGGCGGGAAGAGAGGCCAGCTCCCACGGTGGGGCCCCCTGCCGCCTGGGATTCTGAGTCTGTGTCTGAGTTTTCTGAGTGGGAAGCAAGGGAAGCAAGCCCTTCTTCCAAGCTCTTCCAAGGGCATAGCATGAGAACAGAGACACAGATACCGATGATTCTCAGGTGCCTCTGACGTGGCAAATGTCATGACCATGTGGGCTTTTCCGGAAATGGGGCCAGATGTCCCGTGGAACCTTCATGAACCACAAGTAAGGATGACCCAGCCGCTCCTGCCCGGCTGCCACCAGCCCCAAGCTTTCTGACCTCTCTTTCCTCAAAACCAAGCTTCCTGCCGGGACCTGAACAACAGCGACAGACTGAGGTTTCTCGTAATGAGGACAACATATAAAAATGTGAGGGTGACAGCATGAATCCCTACCATCTCTCTGCTGCTTGGAGGGTGCCGTGCCGGCTGCATTTCCACCGTTACCGTTCAACATTCACGCTGATTCCATGAACTGGATTCTTGTCACTGGGTTCCGGGGAAGGAAGCTCGAGGAGGTGAAGGGACTTCTTTCAAGTCACGGAGCTACTCAGCGGGGCAGCTGGATTGACCCCATGTCTGGCCGATCCCCATGCCCAGACCCCAGACCGGTATTCCGTACGGAATTACAGGGCAGCCTGGGATAAATGTCCCCAAGGATCTTGTCTCCGCTGCCCGTTTCCCCAGACATGAATGTGTTCTTCCCTTGGGTCAGCTTCTGTGCCTTCCTTCCTCTTCCTCCTCCTCCTCCTCAGTCTCTCTGGCGGACTGGCTCCAAGACCCGCCCTTCTCTTGACCCCTTTCCTGGCTGCGTCTCCCCACACCTGTGCCCTAAGGTCGTCCTGTGCGGCTCCTTCCATGGGCAGTCCTGGGCTGAGTCGCTCTCTGGTCTCTTACACCGGACAATAACGTATATAGCACAGCAAGGACGGGGGACAAGGGGGAGGGTTTCAAGAGACAAAGGTTAATCCTCAATTTTCAGTTTGGAAAGAACTGTAGAGGTTTTCTTGTTCAGATGATGCCATCTGGATGATGAAAAAGCTCAGCCTTGGAGCGGGGCACGGCTTGCTCAAGAGCACTGGGTGACTGAGTGCTAGTACCCACGGTCCCAGCCCACAGGCCCATGCTCTTCTCTGAGTCCCCAGAGGGCCTACTATTGCTTCACGCTGCCCAGAGGAGGGCAAAGGCTCCAGAAGGGCCAAAGAGATGTCAGAAAGGTCTAGACAGGAGCCAGTGTTACCCAAGGGAGTTCTGCTGAGTCAGGAAGGCTTGTGCGCTCTGTCTAGGGACAAAGGAGCGGGCAGGGAGGCAGCCGAGTCAGAAACCTACAAGACTGGGTCGGAAGGAATTCCAGAAGGCCCGTCGGCCTCTGCTGGGATGGGGAACTCCCTCCCTACAAGGCAGCTAATGAGAGCAAGGCGGGCTGCATGGTATGGAGGTGCCACGGTGGGCTCTGGGGGCAGAGAGAACTGGGTTTGAACTCTGAGCTGTGTCTGCATCCCTGAGCAAGAGATGACGGTTCTTCGGGCTTCTGTTTCTATGCATACACAGCGTGGAGAGTAATACCTCCGTAGATGACAAAACGGCTACAAATCACTCCTCTTTCTCAGTCTACAGCCTCTGCGGATACCCCCCTGCTGGTTCTGGGATGGCTATGTGACCTGCTTCATACAGGACACAAACAGGTGTTAAATGGTACTCATGTTGGGGGAGGGGGGCTTGCCCCTGCTGACAAGCCCATTTACTAAGCTTCTCTATAAAGTGTTGGGCACAAAGCGAGCTACGCAGCCGGTACTCAACATATAGCAGCTGCAGCTCCTTCCCTAGGTTCTAGTTCTGCCTTTCAAACATGCACACATCCAACACATACTTATTACGTAGCTACGATGTGCAGGTGTACGTGCTGGGTCCTGGGACGAACGAAAAAGACAAGGTTCCTGAACTTCTGGAGCTTCCTTCTGGTGGAAGGAGAAGACACAGATCCACCCGTGACCTGTTCCGAGGGGGCGGAGGGCTAAAAAGGCAGGCAGAACAGGAAACAGGGAGGAGGAACCCTGAGGGCTGGCCGGGGAAGGCCATGTCCCAAATTTGAGACTTGGATATAAGAAGAAGGACCCAGCCCAGAGGAAGTCTGGGCAAGAAGCTCTCCAAGGAGACAGAGCAGCCCTTGGGGGAACTGAGTGTAGCACGTTCAAGCAAGAACAGAGGGAAGACGGGCGAGTGAGGGGCAGAAGGACAGAAGATGCTGGGGAGCAGGAAGGCCATAGTGGACCGCTGTAGTACCATTCTTTTTATTTTATTTTATTTATTTTATTTTATTTATTTATTTGACAGACAGAGATCACAAGTAGGCAAAGAGGCAGACAGAGAGGGTGGGGGTGGGGAGCAGCCTTCCTGCTGAGCAGAGAGCCCAATGTGAGACTTGATCCCAGGACCCTGAGATCATGACCTGAGCTGAAGGCAGAGGCTTTAACCCACTGAGCCACACAGGCGCCTGAGCCGTAGTACCATTCTAACTGCAATGAGAAATCATCGGAGAGTTTTAAAGATGTTGACCTGAGATACAGACGGTCCCCAGCTTAAGAGCGGTTGACTTAACAATTTTTCGACTTTAGGATGGTGCGAAAGTGATATGCATTCCGGAGACACCGTGCTTTGTGTTTTGCAAGTGCGTTTCTCCCCCAGGCCATCCACATGCAGGAGGGACGCTCTCTCGTGATGCCGGTCGGTCCCGGGATCACAGGACTCAACAACGGGTACACCGGCCATCATGCTGCCCCCAGACAGCCGTTCTTTTTCTCACTTTCTGTAAAGCATTCCATAAATTGCGTGAGATGGTCAACATTTTGTTATAAAACAGGCTTTGTGTTAAGACGATTTTCCCAGCTGGGGGGCAATGTAAGTGTTCTGAGCACGTTTAAGGTTGGCGAGGCTAAGCCAGGACGCTTAGCAGGTTAGGAGCATTAAGTATATTTTCGACTTCTGTATTTTCAGCCGATGATGGGTGTATTGGGCCACAACCCCACCGCTGGAAGTCAAGGAAGATCGAGTTTTAGAAGATCACTGGGCTGTTACATGGAGAATAAGTTCCCTGTCACTCTCTAGAACGGTGCTTTTCTGAACTGAAACACACCCAAGGTCACTCCAGCACTGATTCCCGAGGTCCCCGTTGGCTAGGGCTGGGTGGGACCAAGAATTTGAATTTCTAAGAAGCTCCTGAGTGATTTGAAGCGTCAGCCTCATGACCCCAGCTAAGGTTCTCTTTCCTCCATTCACAGAAAATGGAGCCCATCAGCCACGTGAGTCTCTGGAGTTGCACTTTGTCAAAGGAATACAGGAGAGCAAGAGTCCCTCGGCCAGGTGGCAAGGACGCTGTGACCCGGAGTCCCCCTGGCCAGCCCCCCCACCCCCCGTCCCTATCAACCATTCTCAGCAGCTGCTGGGATGGGAGGGCTGTCTCCCGCGTGCTGGGAGAGGAGCCAGCTCCGCAGTCATTCTTTCTGAACAGAATTCTAGAGAGAGCCAGGCACGGGAGCCCGCACACCGGCTCCCCTAATTCTTTGTGGCATTCACGCAGGGCCTACTTCTGACTCAAAGGTTTACAAACACACCCGAAATGTTTCTTCAATTAAAAATCAATCCAGCAGGCACCAGTCAGCCTACTGCACTGTAATTGGACGTGTAGGATGGAGCGGAAGGAGGAATTCCTACCGTCTCCACCAGCTAGTGGTACTGCTCGATGATTTTTTATTATGTCCCGCTAAGCCACTCTCGTTAGGGTGTGGAAGTCCCTGGGCTCTCTGGGGTATTGTCAGGATGGCGATACTTGTCACAGCGCGTTAGGAGGGGAACTGTGTGCCTGCCACGCCGGGGACGTGTGCGGTTTGAAGGGAAGGCCTCTGTGCTTAGCGTCCGTGGCAGATGCGAGAGCGGCCAGGGTTTTCTCCGAAGTGGGTTGGGACGGAAGGTCCTGCCGAGGGTCCTGCAGCCCTGGCTGGCCGGGAGGATGCTTCCAGTTGGCACCAGGAGGCGGGGTTCTGTTTTGCCCCAATAAAAGGATTTTTATTGATGGCAACTGTATACAGAAGGATGGATTTGGGATGTTAATATGTTAAAAACCTTTCTAATTGCTGCGCATTCCAGATTGCAAATTCCATAGGTAGCACAGACAGAAAAAGCAGCAAGGGAAGGGAACCGAGTATTTGTTGAAGACCTACCACTCTCTGGGAACTTTAGAACCTCTCATTTTATAAAAACCCAGACACCGATCTGTGACCCAGACGGTATCATTGCCACTTCACAGGTAAGTCAGATGAGGCTCAAGAAGCCTGAGTAACTAGCCCCAAATCCACACAGCGAGGAAGCGGTGCCGCCGGACTTTGAATCCAGATATTTCTTTTTTTTTTTCTTTTTTCCTATATTGCTTTCCCTCTCCTAAATACCGACCATGTGCGGTCAAGGTTTTCAGATCCGTACATATTCGCTGAATGCAAATACGTAAAACAAGGGCTTTCCCAGACAGCCTCTCATTTAACCCTGATCAGGACCCTAGGTTTTAACTCTCTGTATGAGGAGAAAGATAACCAAAGGTGTTAGTGACTTGCCGAAGATCACCAGCAGAGGAGGAAGGGAGCCAGTGGAATCTGAACCCAGAGCTCTTGGTGATTCTAGTGGCCTTTTGTACCACAAATATGAAGATTTTGGCCAATGGTGCTATGACATGATAAGGAGCCTCGGACTGTATGTTGGGGCTCAGTCCCAGCTATGCGTGAACTCATCTGGTCATGACAACAACCTTGGGGGGAGCTACTGTCATTGTCATTCCCGGATTATGAGATGAGGAAACCAAGGCTTGGAGAGCTGATCTGCCCAAAGGTCAAAGCCAAGAAGTGGTAGAGCCACCAAGACCCCACAGTGCCTGACTCCAGGGTCCAAATTATTCAACGTCAGGGCACCTGATTCTGATTAGAAAGTATGTCGGATTTGTCTCTTTCACTTTTTCCTGAGTTTGGAGGTACCCACTGCCCACTAACCCCGATTCAGCATATCTTGTTAATAAAACGTACGAACAGGAGGCGTGAACGGGACCAAGGAAAACCAGGGATGCTCTAAGCTGGAATTATCTGGAACTCACTCATCTGGGCAGACTATAATCTCTGAGCTTCAGATAACCCATCTCGAAGGGCCTGAGGGGCACTTGCATTGCCGCCTGGAGGACAGAAGACTAATCTCAACCACGAGTCAGCATGAATCTCAAGGACTGGATTTTATTTTCATCTGAAATGGCATAGAGGAGGAAAAGGGAAGAGAAGTGGGAAGAGGGGTCTGTTATGGCCAGGTCACTCGCTCAAGTGCTGCTCGGTGGGGGAGTGTCTGCACCCGAACCGAAGGCTGGGTGAGAGGTCAAAGGGACACAGAAGTTTAGGGGTGACTCAGAGGCTCTGGTCTAGCTCAGTCCTTTATGGAGCCTCGCTGATGAGTTTGAACTGGTGGGGGGCTACCTGCCCTGGTTTCCCCACTGCCCTCTGTAATCCCATCTGTTCCCTCTTTCTCCCCCATGCCTTAAGCTGTAACCATACCAGAGCCTGTGTGTTCCCAACAGGCGGGGGGCCTCTTTGTTCCCTGAATATGCTGCATGCTCCCTGTTCTCTCCCTGCGTGCTTCCTACCGGCTGTCTACTGAGCCTCTAATACAATGCTGCAACATCTCCCCTTGGACCCACTCCCTGTCTCTCCCTTTCTCCACCGCCCAGCAGGGCTGGGGGCTCCTCCCACAGCATCTGTCAGAGTAAGAACCTGTTACCTGTCTGTGGCAGGCTGCATTCCAAGGTAGCCCCCACAACTGCGCCCTGTGGCATGCACACCCGTCCAACCCCACTCCTGAGTGTGAGCCGGACCCGGGAGCGGGACGGAATGCGGCCTCCGTGGATCACGGGATGGAACAGACTGCAGAGTTTCCCGCTGGCTTTGAAGAAGGAAGCTGCCGTGCCGTCAGAGGACCACATGGCGAAGACCTAAGGGTGGCCTCCTATTGCTCAGAAGGACCCCAGCCACCAGGCAGCAAGGAACCGGGGACCTCAGTCCTATAACTGAATTCTGCCAAAAGCCGAGTGAGCTTAGCGGAGGCCCCTGACGCCCGTGAGATCACAGCCCCCAGCCAACACCTTGATGGTAGTCCTGGGAGCTGAGCAGGAGACCCTGCTAGCACCCCTCCAGACTCTGGACACCCCCCAAACTGCAAGATACCGAAGTTATTGAACCTGCTAAATCTGTGGCAATCTGTTCTGCCCCAGCAGACAACTAATACACTGAGTCATGAAGATGCTCTCTACTCCTTAAAGGCAAAAGCAGGGTCTTCTTATAAATATCCCCAGCCTCACAAGAGCCCGGCACACCACAGTTACAGATGCTCACACAGCAGCTCCAGAGTGGTCACGTGAATGCTGGAGATTCGGAACCCGAGGCCCCAAGAAGAGAAAGACTTTGCCTGAGGTCACACGGAAGGTCAGGTCAGAGCTGGTGCGGGACAGCTCTGGGTTTTTCCCCTTCATCCCAGCTCATCTCTACCTGCTACCTGTTATGTTCTGCAAGTTCTCTGTGTTTCTGCATGGGAGTCCTGAGGCCTATGAACCTCCAGGAAACCCCCAGCCCATGGAGCCATTGAGTTCCACAAGCAAGCATCCGCCAACGCACAGTGGGACTCTCAAGGTGCGGAGTCTGCCACGCTCTGTGTGACTCATTCCTGGATGTCTCTGGATGCAAGGTTCCACGCGCTCCTCCCAGCTCCCAGACCCCTTTCTGCACGTGAACATTTTCGTGTCCGAGGGCTTGCTCCTGCACTGGTTTGCCCATGCTTTAATCACTCCCCACAAATAACGAGCATTTACTGAACACTTAACAAGTGTGCCAGGTACCGCTCTCAGCACGCCACAGGCATGGACCCATGCGGTCCCAGAAACAGGCCCCTGCAGTTGCAGCCAGAGGCTGGACAGGCATCTCTGAGATGCCTCTAAGCGAGAATGAGCCCATCAGATTCCCTAATTGTGGGAGCAGACAGGGAACGGTAGGAAGGAAACTGGGGGTAGGGAGCCCCCGTGGGCCATGTGTCAATCAAAGAGAAAGCCGGTGGGCGGAGGTGGGAGGGAGACACGCAGGACACCAGGTATGGAAAAGTACAGCCCAGAGTGAGTGACCTCGGGGCTTTGAATCCACGCACCCCTGGCAGTGAGAGAGAGGGTTTCAAAAACATAAATTGGATCATAAAACTTTGTGTAAATGTCTTCAATAACTTCTCACCACACTGAGAATAAAATCCAATGTTTTGGTGGGTTTCAAATGTTCTATAATCTTCATCTCACGCCATGTCCCTGCTACTATGCCTCAGCATACTTCTACCATGTTTCTGAATGTGCGAGCCCCCTCCTACCACAGGGCCTTTACACTTGCTATTTTACCCACCCGGAATTGTTTGTTTTTGTTTTTCTCAGCAACTCACATTCCTGACTCCTTTTCTCCTCCTTTAGGTCTCTGCAGAAATGTCCCCTCCTTAGGTTTCCCCTGACCACATTTCCCAAGGAAGGTCCTTCCCTTGACATTGTTATTATCAGTCTCAGTTCCTTCCAAAGCACTTATCACAGTTATAATCATTTTACTCAACTATCTATTTGCTGTTTATACCGCTACACTCATGTTCTTAACTCTGGCTGCACATTCCAAGTGTGAAACAATGCAAGGTCTCCACCACACAAATGTTCTTACTTAACTGGCCTGCAATGGAGCTCGAAGGTGAATTTGTTTTAAGAGCCCCCCACGTGATTCAGTATGTCCCCAGCCAAGGTGGACAATCAGTGCACTAGACTTTCGGCCCCATAAGGACAGGGATCTCATCAGTACTTCCAGATAAAGGTCTGGTAGATGTTTGTCACATCAATACAGTAAGAAAAAGAAACAGTGATTGCTTTCCCGCAGTGATAGTGACTCCAGAATATAATATAGAATATATAGAATATAATATAGAATCACTATATATATATATATATTATCACCCCTATAATACCCCCCCCTTTCCTTGAGGTAGTCTGAGTAGAGCTCTGTTCTTTAGAATCAATTCTTCTCCTATTCTCAAAACCACCACCCTCACCGGAAGACAAGAGCCCTTGTTTTCAGGGCTGGAGAGGAGTGTGACCCAAGCCTATGGCTGTCAGGCCATCTCTCCTTTTTCCCTTTGACTGAGTGTAGAGCTGCAGGGTGGGGCTGTGGGGAGGTTAGGACCCGTCGGCCTACCTGTCCATGGAGAGCTGAGCGACCAGGGTGACATCCGTGTTGTCCGAAGCAGGCTCATACTCATAGTGCAGGAAGTACAGGTGGGTTCGGTGGACAGTGAACCGCTCTCGCCGGAACTCGTAACACAGGTCGTCCTCATCGAGCTCAGAGAGCTGCTTCTGGAGCTGAAATGTAGGAGAAGGGGGTAAGGGACCAAGAAGGGACACCCCAAGGAGCCAGGAGCCTGCCCTTGCCTGAGTCAGTTATTCACTGGATGTTGTTGACGGGTCAAACGTGGGAAAACAGGATCACTGGTTTTAGTTTCCTCTGCATTTAATTTTAAAAAGGCAATGATGAGGGGCAGTTGTCCTCTCTATCTGAGAAGCAAGCCTCCTCTGAGAATGATGGTGGTCACCACTGACAAATATGTAAGCAACCACAAACTCCTTAAAAACAAACAAGAAAATGCTTTGGTAGGTGACTCAGTACAATTCCACATAACAGGGAACAGAGTACCAAAATCCAAATGGAGCCTTTGCATGAGTTCTTTCTCCCATCTAGAGCTACAGATGTCAATCTCTGTACCAGGTATTGAAGAGAAAGACTAAACCAACCCATAAACAAAATGTAAAGATCTGTTCCTTTCATTTCATCCGAGTCTTGGCATCCACTCTTCCTTCTTGTTTCTAACTCTTGGGAAGTCCTGCTCTCTTAATCTGCCGTAGAAGTTCTTTACATAGCTCTACCTGCCTTCCTACCCCAACCAGTGCAAGAGCTGGATGACTTGTCAGCAGGGAACCAAGGACTTAGCATCTGACACGGGCAGACGCAGATGCACAATATCCAGATCTGGGGATGTACAGCTGCCCAATACACAACCATGTCATGCCAACACCACCATACCCCTCCCAGGGAGGGGTGATTGGGTGATTGGTTTCATAGATGAAGATTTGCAGTGAAACAGTAAAAGAACTTCAATAGGAAAAGAAATGAGATCAGTGGATGTGTGGGGGCAGAGGGGATAGGCTGGGGAGAAGCAGGAGAGAACTTTTTTGGGGGATGGAAATGTTCTAGGTCATGGTTCCAGCGATGGTTCCGTGGGTATACATTTGTGAGAAGTCAACAAACTATACACTTAGAATGGGTGAATTTATTATATGCAAACTCTATTTCAGCTGAATTTGCCAAAGGTCCTATGGCTCGTTCTAATATTTTTTCTATGACATCAGCCTAGTCCATTACACGACGGCAGATAGCTGGATATAGATTACAGTTTTCATGGCTAGAGCTACTCACTTAACTGAGGGTAACATAGCAGTTTTCCAAGAAGAAGGTGTATGCATATTTTAAATCTCCAAGCCAACATATAGTAAACAAGAATTATATTAACTCACTTCTGTATGACCCTGTCTCAGCGAAAACCACTGTCTTCGTAGATAAAGCTAGATTAAGCTATGGCCTTATTTCTCAAGATGTGAGCGGCAGCACGTGACTGTGTTAATCCCTTTGACTCTTCACCCCCTCCCACATCTCTACTCTGTCGTGAGACTTGCTTTGGCTAGGAAAATGGTAGAGAAGCAACGCTGCCCTCATAATGAGACTAGACTTCAAGAAGAACCACGTGTTTCTCGAACCTCCACCACTACCATGAGAAAATGCCTGGGTGGCCGGATGGAAGATGAGACACACCTGGAGGAGAGCAGAAACTCTGCAATTGCTCTAGGTGCGGGAGCAAGCCGGACCAAGCTCAGCACGGCGGCCTCCTCAATGAACACTTCTCATTGAATCCCACTGAAGTTTTACGGTATTGGAGCCATAGATAATCGATGGGGGGGGGGTCACTGGTATTTGTGCAGGGAGCTTTTCCATAATGTGTCCTGTCCCACAGATCCCCGAACAGTTAGCCTCCCAGGCCCCACCCTACTAAATGCCAGTAGAATTCTCCAGGCAGCCTTGTACAACTCCAAATCTACCCACCTACTTCCAAATGCTGCTGGGGTGGGGAGGGGGGGACCCGTGGAGGTCCAGTGATCGAGGAGATGTTCTCGCCCATTATGAAGATTTTTAACATGGTTAACACCGTTGCAATCAGGGAGGCTTTTCAGTTTTTGAAGTTCAAGTCCTGGCCTATTTGAAGACTCCATTATGCCAACGGTGTGACTCATGTAAGGCCAGGAAACTGCAGTTCTCATTCCATTTAACATTCTAGGAGCCAAACGACCCCTTCTGACCTGCAGGATTAAACCCAGGTCCTTGCTGACAATCACATCCTCTCTCTCTGACCCAGTGCCCCCACTCCTCCGTGTTCTCTGTATTTGCACCAGCGATCTCTCTGTTCCCCGAACCCACCTTTCCCTCCTTTCCTCTGTGACTCTGAACATTTCTTCCCTCTCGACGTCCCTCCCTCCCCTCACCCACTCTTCTCCACCAGGACACTTTCTATTTACCTTTCAAGACTCAGCCTGGATGACACCGAGTCCGTTTCTGAGACCTCTGCTAACTGTGCCGGCTACAGTGGGTCCACTTCTCCTGACTCAAGAGCCCTCAGTTCCTAACTCCGCTAAAGCACTTGTCAGTTCGAACTCAAATTATTTCAGGGCAACTTTCCTGGAGACACGGTGACACTTTACCATTGCCCCTAGCACCATGCCCACGGCATGACAGATGCTTAATATTCATGTGCCGTGAGCAGGAGAAATACCTACGTGAAGACTGTGACCATTAGAAGGCCTGCCTGATTTTCCTTCCGTATCCTCTAATGTTATACATGGAGGAGGATGATCGTCCTTAAGCCCATTATCTGCTCCTGTATTTGCAGTTCAAGGGTCTGTGTTGGCTGAAAACGTGCTGGCCGGCAAGGTGCTGGGTACGCGTGATCTCTTTCCTTGGAGCCCTCCAGTGGGGCAGGTGCAGCCGCATTTGACAGCTTAAAAGCAGCTCAAGATCTTGAGGTCACTCAGGGAGGTTGAACTGGGGTCTGTGTCCCTCTACTACCGAGCTACCTCTCCAGGAAAGGTGCTCATTCAGCCTCAGGTCAAGAAGCACACGCGGCACCGTGGCTGAGGTCACGGGTTCTATCCCACTCGCGTCTGTACAGTCTTGGGCGAGCGGGGGAGGTGCTTAACCCTTCTGAGCTTCAGCTTCCTCGAGTGTAAAATGGAGATGATAACAGGAACGACCCAGGGGGCTGCTGGAGGATGCCGAGAGATCCTGCATGGACGGACTATGGTGTTTGGCTTAAAGACACAGCAGTCGTCGTCTATGACCACGGTGGTTATCAGAGTTAGGGAGGGGAGACACCTGGAAGGATGCTTTCTTTCTTTTCCTTCTTTCTTCCTTCCCTGCCTTCCTCCCATCCTTCCCTCCCTCCTTCCTCCTTCCTTTATTTATTTATTTTTAAAGATTTTATTTATTTATTTGAGAGACAGAATGCGCATAAACAACATGAGAGGCAGGTAGAGGGAGAGGCAGAAACAGACTCCCCACTGAGCGGCAAGCCCGATGCCAGACTCGATCCCAGGAGCCTGGGATCATGACCTGAGCCGAAGGCAGATGCTTAACGATCGAGACACCCAGGGGTCCCTGGACAGCTGCTTTCTGTCCTCAGCCGCCACCTGGAGGAGACAGTCGGGTGAGGGCAGGGAAGGCAGGAGCTCACTGAGCCTGGATCGCGCTTCTGTCTCACGAGTGTTGGACACACTCCCCACATCCTCCTCCTTGAGGAACCCAAATATACCTAGAAACCACAATGTCTCCCTGTAATGGGAAACTCAACCAACTCATACCCTCCTTCGCTCTCGCCCACACTGCAAAAGAACACTCGCAATTATTCCCTTTCAGAGCATAAACATCTGCAAAGCTCTTTGCAAAAGCGGGGTTGTTTCAGCGGGGTGGGGCGTGGTTTCATTTGTGTGCTGTTTTTAAGGTGACAGGAGTGCATGGCTTCGGTTCAGGGAAGACGGTAGTGGGGACATGTGAAGATGGGTATGGACGTGGGTGTGGGGGGGGGCCTTTTCTTCGATGAGCCTTGAAAGAGTAGGTATCCTCCTCATGGGAGAAGGGGAATCAGTGGCCAGAGCATGAGAAATGCATGTGTGTACAGGGGTTTCTCTCTATATATGCAGGCACATGCCCTTGAGTTCAGAAAAAACAATGTTCCAAGGTAAAGAGCTCCGAGAGCCCTTTTCTGAAAGGCACTCATATACAGTGGGCTCCTCAAGGTAGGAGCTGTATCCTAGTCATCTCTCAATTTCCTGTACCTAGAACATCTAGAGCACCCTGTGTGCCCACCAGGCCACTACCAGATGTCCTTACAGCCATGTCCTCGTGTTAAAAAAGGAAGAGTGACCAATGAAAGTGCTTCCACAATGACCAGAGCATGGCCTGACCTGGTCGGGAGGGTCGATCAGCAGTCCTGGGGATAAGTAGCCTCTAGAAACTTCCAGGTATCAATGCTGTGGTTCAGTGGCATCCGCATCCCTAGGTCACCTGTGGCCATCACAGCGCTGAAGGGGAAGGGTCTGGGGAACACTGTGTCTACCAACCACACTGGGTACCGTGGCAAACACATCAGCTATGATGTCCGACATAGGATGTCAAAATCCACGGTACCCTGGACCAGCCAGAAGCCTTCCTTGAGTTTAATGTTACAGTCATTCTCAACGTGGCGGTTTGTCCCTTCACTCAGCTGATTCGGATACAGCGCCTGCTCTGTGCCAGGTGTGGTGCTAAGTGCATTCAGGTGGGTTGCTTTATTAATTTAATCCCTCAGCACACACACCTCTGTTTTATAAAGGAGGAAACTGAGGCTCAGAGGGTTTCAGTAATCTGCCGGTTGCACGGCTAGGGAGAAGCAGTTCCGGACTGAGAAGCCAGCCTTGGGACCTCACACCACGGGCATCTTTGCAGTGAGGGGACTCCGCTCCTCGGGGATGGATGCAAGGATCAAAGAGACAGTGGAAGGCATAATGCTCCATGATAAAGCAGCCGATAAAAATGCATCTGCCGTAAGATCCTGATACAGCAAAGACACAAACAAACAAAAAGCCACATAGAAAAGAGACCGAAGGGAACACATTACAATATTAACAAAGCTTTTCTCTGACTGGTGGGTTCACAGATCAATTTTATTGGCTCCTTTCTACTTTTCTGTCCTTAACGAGTTCCCTGCAATTTGCTCAAAGGA